ATCTGGAGGCAGTGAATACATATGAAGGTAAGTACTCACCTGATGTCATTAGACACATCATGAATCTGGAGGCAGTGAATACATATGAAGGTAAGTACTCACCTGATGTCATTAGACATGTCATGAATCTGGAGGCAGTGAATACATATGAAGGTAAGTACTCACCTGATGTCATTAGACATGTCATGAATCTGGGGGCAGTGAATACATATGAAGGTAAGTACTCACCTGTAGTGGTTACAAGTAAAACAAAATTGTCATGTGGTAAAGAAAATATTTTAGATATAAGCTCATAACTCTTTACATTGTATATTAGTTTTGTTTTGTGTGTTTTTATTTTGCATGTTGGACACTAGAAAGCATTGTATGTCATGGCAGTAGGATTTATTTACTGTGTAAACTACACATTTTGAGTCTAAAATATTGTTCATTCACTATAAAACTAATATCCTACTTTGTAGATAACAGGATACAAATGCTGTAAAATATTCGTGGATTTAGTTCAGCAATTCTATTGTTGAACTGATATTTCTTGTCTTCCAAAAAATATAAAGAGATAACCTTTTCTTTCAACCATTTCAAAGTATCAAACAAGAAAACAAATGCGAGGAAGGATTTTTTCAGAGATTGCACAAAACACTTATGTAAAAAAAACTTCCCTCTTATATATATATATATGTATAAATTGAAATTTATTAATGTAGAATTTATTTTTTCATCTCTCTAATCAATTTTATGAAACAAGACATTTTTTTTAAAGTTTGTTTTCCACAATATGTGGGGCAGTAGACTTTAAACACTTGTTTTCTTAAGACACAGAGGATGTTAATTATGGGTTGTTCGTAAAATGTTTAATGTTGCCTTGTTGTTGTTATCATATTCCAGAGATATTTAAAGAAAAATATACAGTAATTACATAAACATACAGAATATTTAATGTTTGCTTGGGACTGAATATTTGTAACACAAGTATAATTCTCCTTCACATTCTGAATGAATATATAATGTACATAAGTTTTGTGAAAATGAGATAGTAGTAACGTATGTAGCCTCTTGAAGTTTCTATCAATGGAGTACTAACAATTCACACCAGTTAAAGCCATTCATTTGACTTAAATGTAGAATTGCTAGTGAGATCCATATGAATTCAATCAACTTTAAAAATGTGTTTTTCAAAACTTTATGCACCAAATTACTTGTGGGTTCATGACTTAGTTTGTTTCAGGGTCCCTAATAATGTAGGTGTCGCGTAAAAACATTTAAACAAAAATATCCTCAGTATTGCAGTATATCCTACTAATTATTGTTGGAGTCATAGAAGACGAGTGATCTCACCCAATTTTTTAAACTGTACCAACATTGAAATACAATTGGCATACAAGTTGTATCGCTTAAAAAAAACAGTTAGTAAATCTGTGCCTGGCCAGGACTTGATACAGATGTTGATAAACAATACAACATAAATATGAATGTTATTAATTTCAATAAGTAAAGAAATTAGGAAAAAGAACCAGAAGAAGAAAAAACCTAATTCCAAAATAACAATATTCCAAAATTAAACCACTTTTCAAGATCAATAACTATCGAGCAACAATCAGTAATAATTTGTTCCAACTATATATTGTGAACCAACTCATTTAAGATTAAGGAAGGGTTTTTATTTAGTGGTTAAACACAAGATTACATCTCATGTGACTAGTTAATTTATATAATCTTTTACAACTTTAATATCTGAATGTTACCACTAGGGGAAGCTTGAGTCAGTTTCGTAATACAAACATACTCATATTCAACAATGATAGAAGGAATAATAAAGGAACAGTAAAGAAAACCATAATAAAATATAAGTACTTTACACTGAGAATTGTAACAGACAATAACATTACTACCCACCCATAGTGAATAGTATAAAAAAAAAGGTTATTGTAGGATTGACAAAACAATTTAAAAGCACATTTCATGGTAGTTACAGTCATTCTTGAAGTTTTTTCTGATATCAAGACAAAATTTCACATTAAACTTTTGCAACCTCCATAACAAATATTGCTGAATCTTGAAACTACTTGTGATTTTTGCTAGTTGCTCTTTAAAAGTCAACTAAATCAACTACTTATCATAAAATTGATAGAGCTTGATAAACAATATATTTATGTCTATTTGTTTTGGAATATCTGACATAATGAATGTTCTGATTGGCTAGATAGTGGCCAATACTAAGACCAAGAACAGCGTATTTAAAAATACCAGTATTGACTCTTGACACCAAGAGAGGAGTATTCTAATCAAAATTTGTGCACAGAAAATAACATATTTTGAATTGCTTTATATGCACAGCCTTAGAGTATAATATTGGTTTCTACTTTTCTTTAGTTGCTTTGATACCCCCTATAATCATTTAATTGGTATAGGTGATGTGACAGAATTATCACGCAAATGTGAGACAATACATTTATTGTGACCAAACCTGGTGAATTCTATGTATTTATAATTCAAAAGATGAAAAAATAAACACAGTTTCTTTTGCACATTATCTTTGTGTATTACAGAAATAAAAACACTAAACCAGGACAATAGATTAAAGTTTAAACTATAATGATATCTGTTAGTTAATCATGCTGGTACGTATTGTATTTGTAACCTGAACAAAAGTTGATATTTCTGATAGTGTTGTTTTCATTAGAAAAAAACAGTAAATAAAGTAATATTATTAATTTTTACATGCAAGGAGGAAAAAAAAATTGTAGTATCGGAGGACGAGTCTTAAAAATATTTTTTTTTTTTTATAAGTAGTGTGCTTGTGATTTCGTATTCAAATAGCTGATTTTTACTCAGTTGCAATTGATTGACTGTTTGTTTACTGTTTCAAAGAGTTTTGTAAGTAAATAAGAAATTTAATATCATATATCTTGTTTATAAAACTGAGTTAAAAATGTACATATACAAAAATTAATTTTTACTTTAAAAAAACGTAAACCTTTTTTCGTGTAAACGTCAAGAACTTGGATCATAATTATTAAGTTGTGTGTGAACAGAGCAATATAATCAACTTCTGTTGTTACTAATATGGGGGTGTGTTGGTGGTGTGACAACTAAAGTAGCTGTTGTACAAGAGGTTTGCACTAATAGTTTTTTTTGTTTCTCACAGGGACCCATGACATTCATGCTCTGATCTTGGGAAGAGCAATTACTGGTATTCAAGCTTTTACAGCTGATAAATAGCTACTATGGACTGCAACATAAATACATTTGTTTAGTTTCTGGATGTGGCAACAGTTAAACTAAATATCTTGACCTTGCATGTACAGTTTAAAAATTGGTTCTCTGATATTTGTAAATGTACTATACAGTTAAATATGTAAAAATTGAAGATGCACGCCTTATTTGAATGAGATTCAATTATTATCCATCCTCCAGAGTTTTATATGAAAAATTTATTAATAGATATATCAATTGGATTAAGTGTTTTGGCAGTCACATATATATATATTTTTACAGAGTAACACTGGAGTGCCAAATGTTAAATAATAAACAAGATATCAGAATTTGCAAACTTTGATTTCATTATACACTTCCTTATCATGAGCTAACTTAAAAATTAAACTTTTTATTAGTACTTTTTGAGTTTTCTTTTTCAGACTATTAGTTTTCTCTCCAGCTAATTACTGTTTAGACAGAAACCTAATTTGCAAGTTATATAGTTTTAAAACGCTTATGGCCAATCCCAACAGATGTAATATACGAGGATGTTTTCAGTCTGAATATGTATAGTTCATGTTAATAAAGAATGAGTACAAGTTCATCCCTAACTTTAAGGATCATTTGGTATTATATTAAGTTACTATAAAACTGTGCTCATACAGGCTCTGATCATTGTCCCTATCATTACGATGTTGTATTCAAACATTGGAAGTGGATTGACTACTTGCAGTACTACTGTCTGATTCAATAAAAGTTCTGTTTTAAACCTTCATGAATTTTTTTCTATGCTTTTGTTTGGATGTTGCAGCATGTTGATCACAGTATGTAGTAATAAACAATGATGAGTGCCTAGGCTTTAAGGTCCTTTCTTCCTGCAGCATGTTGATCACAGTATGTAGTAATAAACAATGATGAGTGCCTAGGCTTTAAGGTCCTTTCTTCCT